GTGGCGCAATCTCAGATCACTGCAACCTCTGCCTCCCAGGTTCAAGCAATTCTCCTGCCTCAGCCTCCCGAGTAGCTGGAACTACAAGTGTGCGCCACCATGCCCAGCTAATTTTTGTATTTTTAATAGAGACGGGGTTTCACCATGTTGGCCAGGATGGTCTCGATCTCCTGACCTCATGATCCACCCACCTCAGCCTCCCAAAGTGCTGGGATCACAGGCATGAGCCACCATGTTCAGCCTGTGTCTATTTTTTTTTTTTTTTTTTAAAGACAGGGTCTTGCTCTGTCACTCAGGCTAGAGTGCAGTGGCACAATCATGGCTCACTGCAGCTTCAACCTCCTGGGCTCAAGCAGTCCACTTCAGCCCACCAAGTAGCTGGGACTACAGGTGAATGCCACCAAGCCTGGCTAGTTTTTAACTTTTTTGTGGAGATGGTCTTGCTGTATTGCCCAGGCTAGTCTTGAACTCTTGGCTTCAAGCAATCCTCCTGCCTCGGCCTCCGAAAGTGCTGAGATTACAGGCATGAGCCACTGCACCTGGTCTGTATTTTTTTAAATCTCCTTTCAGAACAGTATAATAAAGGTATCCTTTTCTAAATATGGGTTATTCATGGCCTATTGTAAATCCTAAGCTGGTTCTGACAGGCAAGTTCTCAATAGGATCTTCTTTGCTCCCCTCCTCTCCAGTCCTAGTATGTGCAGGAAATACAAACTTATTTAAATAGTAGTTTACATTAAATATAATTTTAAAAGTAAATCATCTGTGCGAGTGAAACATGTTCTTAAACAAGATATGTGTCCTTAGATCCCATGCATTAGCCTGGTTGTATTGGAAGTCAAGCAGTAAATGGAATTTAAGCACCTTAGAGATATATATATGTACATACATGCACACACACATTTGAGACAGGTTCAAACTCCTGGGCTCAGGTGATCCTCCCGCCTCAGCCTCCCTAGTAGCTGGTATTATGGCCACATGCAGCTGCAACCAGCTGCCTTATTATTAGCCTGCCCTCTTCACTGTAAAAACCAGAAAACATACCACAATGTCCTAGATTTTGTGAAAAATGTCTTTTGTGTCTCTCAACTGGATCATGCTTCATGATCCTTGAGACCTCCACATTCTGGTGGAGCAGGGAAGCCTGAAATTTTAAAAGGCCATGTGGCTAAGTGGCTTCCATGAGGCCTGCCTCTCCTGGGAAGGCATTCCCTACCCCAGATCCTGCAGCCTTTCATCCCACGGCCATTACACTCTCCAGGTGCACCCGCATCAAAGCACAGGTACCATGCTCCTGATCCGGACTTATCTGAATTGCACGTTCCCTGAGGGCGCTGTTTGATGTGCTTGATTGTGGAATGAAAGCCAAATAAAGGAATGAGAGGGCCTGTTTATTTCCTCATTTTTAGTGCTTTTCCTCAGGGCCCTTCTATGTCTGGAGAAGGAATTTATGAAAAAGCCTGGGATACCACCTAAGCGGAAAACACCAGCATCTATTTACAATTACATTAACTCTGGCATCTATGAACCATTGGCCTCAGGCAGCGGAGTCTGTGTCCCTAAAGAGCTGTATGGATAGCCAGCACGGTGGCTCATGCTTAAAATCTCAGCACTTTGAGAGTCTGGGATGGGAGGATCACTTGAGCCTAGGAGCTTAAGACCAACCTGGGCAACACAGACCTTATTTCTAAAAAAAAAAAAAAAAAATTGCCTGGCATGGTAGCATGCACCTGAAGTCCCAGCTACTCAGGAGCCTAAGGCAGGAGGATCATTTGAGCCCAGGAATTTGAGGCTGCAGTGAGCTATGACCACGCTACTCCCACCTGGGTGGCAAAGCGAAAGCTCATCTCTGATAGAAAGATGGCTGTATGGTGGAGGAAGGTGATGCCACTCTGACCTCACACTTTCTCAGCTGTGTCATCAGCATCCTCTCTTCCTGGAGGAGGGTGACAGGGCCATTGCAGTTCTGAGTTGCTCTGACAGCCCACTGCTTCTCAGTTGAGTGGCCAAAACTGGGAATTTGGAAGGGACCCCTAATCATAATATAGGTGGCCTCCCCAACCCTCCCCCACCCTTTTTTTTTTGAGACAGAGTCTCACTGTGTCACCCAAACTGGAGTGGGTGATCTTGGCTCACTGCAACCTCCGCCTCCCAGGCTCAAGAGATTTTCCTGCCTCAGCCTCCTGAGTAGCTGGGAGTACAGGCACGTGCCACCACATCCGGCTGATTTTCTGTATTTTTAGTAGAGACAGGGTTTCTCCATGTTGGCCAGGCTGGTCTGAAACTCCTGACCTCGGGTTATCCACCTGCCTCAGCCTCCCAAAGTGCTGTGCTGGGATTATAGGCATAAGCCACTGTACCTGGGCATCCTCCCACCCACCCCGCTTTTTTTTTTTTTTTTAAGCAGATGGGGAAACTAAGGCTGAAAGGGATTCAGTGACTTGTCCACTGTTAGCAGCATGCCAGTGGCAGGGGCAGGAATAGCTCCCACGATTCACACCTGACTCCTAGTCTAGCAATTTGGTGATGAAATGGTGTGGTGGACAAATCGGCAGAGACTTTAAATGCATTGAATCTCCCTTCAAAAAAAAAAAAAGAGTCCCCTACAAGACAAGGACAGATTGTCCAGAGTGCCAGAACTTCTTAAACTGCCAAGGAACTTGCAGTATACTGAAGATTTTACTGAAGTTGCTTTTGCTACTGTTTGGAAGCAATTGGTTTGTTGTAAAAGCTATGGGGTGAGACTGCCCTCTAGTGGGCCAGTGGAGCAATTGGTCTAGCTGTGTTCTGGGCAACATTGCATTCTCACCGCACGTCAATGTAGAGTGATTATTCCTATTGAAAGCAATTTTAATTTGATTTCTCAAGCACTCTGGCCGATAGTAACTCTATTGATCTCTAAGCACTAGCCATCATTTGCCCATCTTTCGTGGTTTTGCCCTCTATACATACACACATTAGAAGTGTCTTACTTCCCTAACAAGATTTAGGCTCCTGAAAGCCAGAGTGGGTATGTATGTATGTATGTATTTTGTAGAGACAGGATCTCGCTCTGTCACCCAGGCTAGAATGAAGTGGCACAATCACAACTCAGCCTCTACCTCTTGGGCTCAGTCAAACCTCTTGCCTCAGCCTCCGGAGTAGCTGAGACTACAGGTGTGCCCTGTCACACCCGGCTAATTTTTTAGAGATTGGGTATCGCTATGTTGCCTAGACTGGTCTCAAACTCCAGCCAGGCTATGTCTTGAGTCTTGCTTTTCCACAGCTTCAACCTTGCTGTCCCCTTAGCTGAACATGGAATTAGAAGGTTCTTTGGGATGGAAAGGAATCCTCCCCCAACCTCCCCCAAAAAGAATCCCATCACTTCTCATTTGTTCCTAAAACATTCTAATCTCATCTCTCTGATCAGTAGTTGCCCAAGTGGTTGAATCATCTGAATCCCCCAGAAAGCATACAGAACTCAGTTTCCTGGGCCTGACTCCAGCCCTGCTCAATCAGTCTCTGTGGTCTGAGCCAGGAAATCAGCTTTACAAACTTCCCAAGTGGCTTCTGATGTGTATCCAGGTCTGGCAGCCAACTGCTTCAAAACCCCATTTATAATTATTTTTTATAGCTCTCACCATAGACAGTGTCTCCAGAGGTCTTCAGCTTATGTCACTTATTAAAATTAGCCATTTTGAGACTCATTCAGAAATATTCAATATATTCTAACTGGGTGACAGGGGAAGGAAGAAGGAACCACATGAGATAGGCCAAAGGCATTTGCTTTGGTTGCCAGTGGCTCTGAAACAGGAAATACTGAAACCAATACCTCTATACTGACTGGGCAGGTTGTTGATGTGTAGGTTGTTTTCAGTATTTGGGCTGGATAGGAATACAAAAGTTTGTTAAGTAATTAATTTCAATTATGTATTTTCTCCTATTCTTTTTTTTTTTTTTTTTTTTTTTTGGAGACAGAGTCTCACTCTGTCACCCAGGCTAGGGTGCAATGGCACTGTCTCGGCTCACTGCAAGCTCCATCTCCTGGGTTCAAGCAATTCTCCTGCCTCAACCTCCCAAGTAGCTGGGACTACAGGCATGCACCACCACACCCTGCTAGTTTTTATATTTTTAATAAATATAAAATATTTATTAAATATTTTATAGGGTTTTGCCATGTTGGCCAGGCTAGTCTTGAACTCCTGACCTCATGATCCGCCTGCCTCAGCCTCCCAAAGTGCTGGGATTACAGGTGTGAGCCACTGCACCCAGCCATATTTTCCCCTATTCCAAGTCATCTGACCTCACAAAACCATACAAGGTAGGTGAAATTGTCCTCTTTTAAAAAAAAAGTTTTTAAATCGACATAATAATTTTACATATTCATGGGGTACATAGTGATATTTCGATAAATACAAGGTATAGTGATCAGATCAGGGGAATTAGCATATCTATTTTCTCAAACATTTATCATTTCTTTGTGTTGGAAATGTCCTCCTTTTAGCTATTTGAAACTATATACTTTTTTTTTTTTTTGAGACAGAGTTTCGCTCTTGTTACTCAGGCTGGAGTGCAATGGCACAATCTCAGCTCACTGCAACCTCCACCTCCTGGGTTCAGGCAATTCTCCTGCCTCAGCCTCCTGAGTAGCTGGGATTACAGGCTCGCGCCACCATGCCCAGCTAATTTTTTGTATTTTTAGTAGAGACGGAGTTTCACCATGTTGACCAGGATGGCCTCAATCTCTTGACCTTGTGATCCACCCGCCTTGGCCTCCCAAAGTGCTGGGATTACAGGCTTGAGCCACCACACCCGGCCTATATACTGTTGTTAACTCTAATCATCAGTCCCCTTCTTTATAAATGGGAAAATTGAGGGTTAGGAAAGTGAGGTAATGTGCCTGAAGTCACATAAGTTGGTAACTGTCAGATTCTGCATTTGATTACAGGCCTGATTGCAAAGGCCAGCTCTGGAAAGGTAAGAGGACCAGAGGGTCAACCTGCTCTTTTTTACTCTGGCAGGCTAAGCGAGCAGTACAGCGGGGAGCCACTGCAGTCATCTTTGATGTGTCTGAAAACCCAGAAGCTATTGACCAGGTAAACTCCTCAGGCTATGCCAACGCTGCAGCCTCCCTGAGAAAAGCACTTCCTTTAGTGAACTTGGCTTGTCCTGGTCATGTCACTCTCATCTCAGGGTATTTGCTCTTGTCTTCTGAAGTTAGATGTCCACATTTGGACATAATCTCCAAGGGAGATATAGTGGGAGAGGTTAAGAGCCAGGGATTGGGGCATAGGGGGCATTTTCTAAGACCTTTCTGGGCCTTCCGCTTGCCCAGTTCATCCCAAAACAAATGTCATTCTCAGCCTTGCTCCTCTGGAAACTCCAAGGATGTAATGTTGGAAGAGTTGGAGGATTCCAGACAGGTATTCAGTGTTCCCTCCCTGCAGCCTTTCCTTCTCTCTACTGCTTTTCGAAGTAAGCACACCTTTTAACCAGGGCCCTCTCTTCTTCCTTAGCTGAACCAGGGCTCGGAAGACCCTCTCAAGAGGCCGGTGGTGTATGTGAAGGGTGCAGATGCCATTAAGCTGATGAACATCGTCAACAAGCAGAAAGTAGCTCGAGCAAGGATCCAGCACCGCCCTCCTCGAGTGAGCCTCCACACTGTTTGACCCACGCTCTGGGCCTTCTCTGCCACTACCTGTCCCTTCATTTCCCTTGGGCTCTGGACTTTCATTCCTTTCTCTGTCTAAAATGTTGGCATACCCCCAGTTTCCTGGAGGTTTAGATCAGCTATTGGGCTCAAGGCCAGGGAGAAATTTTACTCATGGTCCTTTAGAGCAAATTTGAAAAATCCTGCCAGAAATAGATGCTTTTGTACTAAGACGTCTCTGGCCTCTTCCACCTGACATTCTCTCTTGGTGATCTCTCATCTTTCCTTTTCCATCCCATCTCCCTCTGAAAGGCAAACTGAGGAGGATTGTAGGGATGGGGCACCCAGCACTTGGCCTCCTGTGTCTTTGTACTTCCATCTGACTTAGACAGTAGAGAAGGAAGTACCTCTTTCTTCCTGTAGAAGAAAGTTAATTTGAGTGTGGAAAAGTTAGCTTTCAACTGGGATTGAGTTTGACGGCTAACAAATAGCATCTGCATCTCTTTAGTATGTGTAGGAGACACTACTGGCCACTAACTCTTAACTAGCCTCTTCTGCTCAGACCTCAGGCTGAAGAAATCCAGGAACCTTGGGCTGGTGCCCTGTATTGGTATTATTTCCTCCTCACCAATACTGGGACATTCCTGTGTAGGATGATTCTTTCCCATGCACGGCATATCCAGATACATGCAGCATCGACTTTGCAAAAGTCTATTCCCATTGGCCAAGTGCACATCCCAGATAAGGTGGCTTCGAGGTTTTGGGAGGTAGTGGGCTATGAGGAAAAAGGTAAAAACTAAAACTAGAGGGAGTTTGCAGAACTGACTTGCTGGCTTCATTTTAAAGGAAAGAAAAAAAAAAAGAGCGCTTTGGTAAATATGACTCATTGTAGTGGAAGCTGATATTTGTGGAAGCAGCATACAATTTTCTGAGTTGTTGTAAACCATTAATTATATGGTTAGTAATCACCGTTCCCTCAAAACATGGCACTCACTCTTTTGTCCTATAAATGTGATTATTTGTGTTTATTTGGAAGGGCCTTTCTTACCAGTTACAGCCAACTTTGCCGTATTCCACAGGGAGCCAGGCTTTACCAACAGAGTTCCCTTGGCTCTTGGAGGGCCTGGCTGAGATCGCTGCAGGCCTCCCCCAGCCACACCGAAGGCAGTACTCGAGCCTAGGGAGCACACCATGTGCGTCTGAGCAGAACCTCAGGAGTTTCCTGCAAACTGAGGGGAACCTCACCCTGGTCACCCCATCTTGATCCTGACCAAGCCAAGATAGCCCATGTGCCGATTACCAGGCTGGAGAGAGGTTGTGACTCACTGTGTCTGTGTTCCATTCCAGCAACCCACTGAATACTTTGACATGGGGATTTTCCTGGCTTTCTTCGTCGTAGTCTCCTTGGTCTGCCTCATCCTCCTTGTCAAAATCAAGCTGAAGCAGCGACGCAGTCAGGTATTGCCTCTGTGTGTAGCCCGTGAGCAATAACCACTGTTGCCCCAACACTGGGGAAAAACAGGACTGTCCTCACCTTATTTTTTGATGGTGTAACATGGAGCCTCACAGCTGTGGACTCTGAGCTCCACAGCCTGTTCCCAGTGGCCTACAAACACCAAAGATGGAAAAAAATAAGAGCAAACTAGGCCAGGCACCGTGGCTCATGCCTGTAATCCCAGAACTTTGGGAGGCCAAGGCAAGTAGATCACTTGAGCTCAGGAGTTTGATGCCAGCCTGGTCAACATGGCAAAATCCTATCTCTACAAAAATTAGCTGGGCATGGTGACATGCACCTGTAGTCCCAGCTACTCAGGAGGCTAAGGTAGGAGGATCACTTGAACCTGGGGGGCAGAGGTTGCAGTGAGCTATGATCACACCACTGCACTGTAGCCTGGGTGACAGAATGAGACACTGTCTCAAGAGGAAAAAAAAAAAAAGAAAAACATAGAGCCCAGTGCCTTCTCTGTTCTAAAAGGGCTAGTCCTACAAAGGCTGAGCATTGGGAATGTCTCCAGCCAGTGTTTTGAAGGAAGTGTTTCTTTTATTTTTTTATTTTTTGAGACAGGATCTCACTCTGTCACCCAGGCTGGAGTGCAATGGCATAATCTCGGCTCACTGCAACCTCCACGTCCCAGGTTCAAGTTAGTCTTGTGCCTCAGCCTCCAGAGTAGCTGGGATTATAGGCACCCTGCTAATTTTTGTATTTTTAGTAGAGACAGGGTTTCACCATGTTGGCCTGGCTGGTCTTGAACTCCTGACTTCAGGTGATCCGCCTGCCTCTGCCTTCCAACTGGGATTACCGGTGTGAGCCACCGTGCCAAGCCCAAAGGAAGTGTTTAAATCAATGTTAATATGTGTTGTATACACTCCACAGGTCTAGAAAATATGTGCTGTGGCAGTCTGAGTTTTGAGTGCTTTCTCAGAAGTCTATTCTGGCACAATAGAGGCATGTTTCCCTGTCCCAGTGCATCAGTTGGCACCCTAGAGCCTTGGCCCTCAGATACCATCTATGGTCCAGCAGCAACAGCAGCACCTGGAAGCCTGATAGAAATGCAGAGTCTCAGGCCCCACCCCAGACCCACCCAATGTACCAGGCTTTCCAGGTGATGCTTGATAAACAGTAGCTGCTATAGCACTACAGCCACCACATCACTTTGTGCTTGTAGGAATGAGAGACTCAGGGGTGGAGGGTGGTGAGAGGATAAGCAGAGATCTGGACCCCAAAATGTATGGCAGGGTCATGTCTCAGGGGAGAGATGCTGGATCCTGGCAGGCCATCTGTAGAGAAGAGAATCACCAAAGTTCTCGTGAGGGTTGAGCAACCACTCCCAACATGATGATGGCTTGTGAGCACAGCCTATTTGCCAGGTGCTAAGCACTTACACATTGTCTATTTACTGTCACCACTTACTTCAACAGAAAGAGGAGGAACCCTTGGTGTAGAACAGGTTGATAACTCAGGGTCTGGCAGAGTTAGGAGGCAGCAGGGTTTAAGTAATTGGTGGAGACCCCTGCCTTCAAATCAGAGAGACTCCTGCTAGTCTTGCCACTTGGGAAAAGTCTAGGTTGATGTGGAAGCTCCACGGGTCTGGAGAATGTGTGTTGTGGCAGCCTGAGCTTTGAGCGACTTCTCAGAAGTCTATTCTGGCATGATAGAGAAGTGAGAAGTGTCTGCCTGACCCAGTGAATCGAGTATCACATCCCTGGGGTGAGTGCCACTGTCATACATACCGGACCCTCACACAGACCACATTCTCCTGTGCAGAATTCCATGAACAGGCTGGCCGTGCAGGCTCTGGAGAAGATGGAAACCAGAAAGTTCAACTCTAAGAGCAAGGGACGCCGGGAGGGGAGCTGTGGGGCCCTGGACACACTCAGCAGCAGCTCCACGTCTGACTGTGCCATCTGCCTGGAGAAGTACATTGACGGAGAGGTAATGGTAGAGGCAGGCCCGTCCTGGGTGGGGAAAACTTAGGCAGGTCAGCAGAGTGCCCAAGACCTAGAAAGGACTGGGCCCCGTGTCCTGTCACACATATCAACTTTTAGAGTCACTCTTGATACTTGACTGGGTGTTTTTACTTACAAAGAGACAAGAGATTTGATATCCCTCACTTTTTCTTCTTGTAGCTTTTTGAGAATTTTAGGTCTAGTACGGTGCCTGTAGTCCTAGATACTTGGGAGGCTGAGGGGAAAGCATCACTTGAGGCTAGGAATTCAAGGCTGCAGTGAGCTATGATTACACCACTGCGTGCCGGCCTGGACAACAGAGTGAGACCTTGTCTCTCTTGGAAAGAAAATTTCAGACCTTCAGAAAAGACTAGTACCATAGATGATATATGTCACCTGCCTAGAATCACCCATGATTAACATTTTGCTGCATTTGCTCTCTCCCTCTCCCTAGACAGATGCATACATACACATATTTAGGGGTCAGAGAGCAAACCACTTGAGAATTTCAGACATTTGATGCCCCTTTGCTGAAAATGTTCCACTGCTGCATAGACTGTTGGATGGAAATGGAGTTTTTGCAGAATAGAATAATAGATTCTCGCATGGTCTCTGGGTTCTTATCCTAGTCTGGGTGGATTCTAGCTTTGTGATCCTGGGCAAGTGACTTCATTTTCTTGTGACATGAGCCCAACACTGACCAGCATTCCAGGTGATCATGAAGGTTCCATGAGAAGATCCAGGTAGACCTTTTGTCATTTTGTCAGGCACAGTGTTAGGTGTGAGCTAGAATAGTATTGTGCTGGACGGGTCAGAAAATGGAAAGACAAAGTAACATGAGCAAATTTGGAAGATGCTTGGGCTTAGGAACTCTGGAGGTGGTTCTGTCCCAGTAACCCCACCTCTCTAGATAGGCTGCTTTTCTTATCAACCATGTGCTGCCATGATGAGGTTCAGGGTCCAGGAGGGGACAGCAGAGCTTTGCCCCTTTGCTGCCCCACCCATCAGTCATGAGTCCCAGGTGTCTTCCTTTCCACTGATGCCCATTTGGGGTACCCAGGATCAGCCAGCACCTCAGAGAGGGAGCATATCTTGGGGTATACCTGGCTCTCTCTCCGTACCCCCAGGGCTCCCATCATCACTAGCACAAGACCTTGGTCTTCCCTGTGTGGAGGCACCAGGGTACAAGTGTGCATGCCCTACACTACAAAAAAGATGCCTGCCTCTGCATGCTCCCACTCCCTTAACACTGAGGACTGTGGCTGGGGCTGGCTGCTGGCAGTTTCCTTCTCCCTAGAACACATGGGTGGGCCCTGCCTCTAGGGAATTGAGCTGACCGCTAGCTGGAGGTGGGGAGGAAAGTTGGGAAGGGCACTGGCATGGTGTGCAGAGTTCTGCAGGAGGACACACCTGTGAGGCTGAAGACAGACCTGTGTCTCCTCTCTTCCTGCCCAGGAGCTGCGGGTCATCCCCTGTACTCACCGGTTTCATAGGAAGTGCGTGGACCCCTGGCTGCTGCAGCACCACACCTGCCCTCACTGTCGGCACAACATCATAGGTAACTCACCTGCCTCAGCCACTGCTGAAGAGTCAAGTGAGAGGACACTGTCTCTACCAAGTGCCTAGCTAGAGCGTGACACACACTGCAGGCTTGGAAGTGAGCAGAGCCACCACAGCTCTGCCCTCTGGACTTGGAGGCCTGGCAGCCTTGAGTTTTGAAGGTTGGCTGCACAACCCTTAGGAGACTCTGGCATTAAGCATTGCCCTGAGTTCAAGTTTGGGCTTCATGTTAAGCAGCTTCCTGACCTTGGGCAAGACATCTGGCCTGTCCCTGAGGCCCCTAATCTCTTTAGTGGCAATGACAGTAATGGTGTTTGCCCATGCCCCATACCACGGGAGTGTTCCTAGGACCACAGAGACGATGAGTGTGCAGTGGCCGGCTTGTGCTGTTGCTCTTGCGTCACTGTGTCATTAAATGGGGATGGAGGAACACTGGCATCTTGGAATCCAATTCTTCTCTGCAGACTCCTGTGGTGCCCTGTCAGGCAGAGCAGTGGGGAGGTGGAACGGGGCACTTACAGGAAATGGGCCATTTCACACAGAGAGGCAGGTCAACCTCAGCTGCTGCAGCTGAGTTTGGGGGCAGGGTTGTAAGAATGGGCACCTTGGCAAGTGACCAACCCTGCTGCTTCAGCCTTTGCCCATTTTAAAAATCCCTGTAACCCTTGACACCAGTATGCTCAGCCCGGCCTACTCTGTTTCCTCCACTTGTCCCCAGAACAAAAGGGAAACCCAGGCGCGGTGTGTGTGGAGACCAGCAACCTCTCACGTGGTCGGCAGCCGAGGGTGACCCTGCCGGTTCATTACCCCGGCCGCGTGCACAGGACCAACGCCATCCCGGCTTACCCGACAAGGACAAGTATGGACTCCCACGGGAACCCTGTCACCTTGCTGACCGTCGACCGGCACGGGGAGCAGAGCCTCTTTTCCCCGCAGACCTCCGCCTACATCCGCAGCTACCCACCCCTCCACCTGGACCACAGCCTGGCCGCTCACCGCTGTGGCCTGGAGCACCGGGCCTACTCCCCAGCCCACCCCTTCCGCAGGCCCAAGTTGAGCGGCCGCAGCTTCTCCAAGGCAGCTTGCTTCTCCCAGTACGAGACCATGTACCAGCACTACTACTTCCAGGGCCTTAGCTACCCAGAGCAAGAGGGGCAGCCCCCGCCTAGCCTCACGCCCCGGGGCCCAGCACATGCCTTTCCTCCGAGTGGCAGTGGCAGCCTGCTGTTCCCCACCGTAGTGCACGTGGCCCCGCCCTCCCACCTGGAGAGCGGTAGCACATCCAGCTTCAGCTGCTATCACGGCCACCGCTCGGTGTGCAGTGGCTACCTGGCCGACTGCCCAGGCAGCGACAGCAGCAGCAGCAGCAGCTCCGGTCAGTGCCACTGTTCCTCCAGTGACTCTGTGGTAGACTGCACTGAGGTCAGCAACCAGGGCGTGTACGGGAGCTGCTCCACCTTCCGCAGCTCCCTCAGCAGCGACTATGATCCCTTCATCTACCGCAGCCGGAGCCCCTGTCGCGCCAGTGAGGCGGGGGGCTCGGGCCGGGGGCCTGCACTGTGCTTCGAGGGCTCCCTGCCACCCGAGGAGCTCCCGGTTGTGCACAGTCATGGTGCTGGGCGGGGCGAGCCTTGGCCAGGCCCTGCCTCTCCCTCGGGGGATCAGGTGTCCACCTGCAGCCTGGAGATGAACTACAGCAGCAACTCCTCCCTGGAGCACAGGGGGCCCAATAGCTCTACCTCAGAAGTGGGGCTCGAGGCTTCTCCTGGGGCCGCCCCGGACATCAGGAGGACCTGGAAGGGGGGCCAGGAGGGGCCATCGTGTGCCTGCTGCTGCGAGCCCCAGCCCTCCCTACCCGGGCCTAGCTCCGGAGTAGCTGGCAGCAGCACCTTGTTCCTGGGGCCCCACCTCTTAGAGGGCTCTGGCCCGGTGGGTGGGGAGCCCCAGCCAGGAAGCTCCCAGGGCCTGTACGGCCTTCATCCCGACCATTTGCCCAGGACAGATGGGGTGAAATATGAGGGCCTGCCCTGCTGCTTCTATGAAGAGAAGCAGGTGGCCCGTCGTGGCGGAGGCGGCAGTGGCTGCTACACTGAGGACTACTCGGTGAGTGTGCAGTACACGCTCACTGAGGAGCCCCCGCCTGGCTGCTATGTGGGGGCCCGGGACCTGAGCCAGCGCATCCCCATCATTCCGGAGGATGTGGACTGTGACCTGGGCCTGCCCTCGGACTGCCAAGGGACGCACAGCCTCGGCTCCTGGGTTGGGACACAGAGCCCAGATTCCCCACGGCCCCACAGGGGCCTGGGAGCAACCCGGGAAGAGGAGCGGGCTCTGTGCTGCCAGGCTAGGGCCTTGCTGCGACCTGGCTGCCCTCCAGAGGAGGCGGGTGCTGCCAGGGCCAGCCTCCCCAGTGCCCTCCAGGACACTCAGGAGTCCAGCACCACGGCCACTGAGGCTGCAGGTGAGAGGGCAGGAAATGGCAGTAGGCCAGAGCAGGAGTTTCCATCATGGTCGTCTTCTCTGTTAGGCATTTTCTGAATCACTTCCTTTGTGCCCTTGGCTTTAAACATCATCTGAGGCTGAAGACTTCCAAGGGTTACTTCTCAGCCTGGCCCTCCCTCGGAGTTCAGATCCATTGAGCCCTCTGCTTGCATGATCTCGGGGTGTCTCCCCCAAGATGCCTCCAGCTGGTCACGTCCACAGCAGTGCTTTCATTCCCTCCTCTGCTCTGCTCCCCACCCATATGCTCACACCAAAAACCTAGCACCAGTCAGGCGTAGTGACTTGTGCCTGTAATCCTAACATTGGGAGGCTGGGGCAGTGGACCACTTGAGGTCAGGGGTTGGAGACCAGCCTGGCCAACATGGTGAAACCCCTTCTCTACAAAAAAGTTACAAAAATTAGCCGGAAGTGGCAGGTGCCTATAGTCCCAGCTACTCAGAAGACTGAGGCAGCAGAATCTCTTGAACCTGGGAGATGGAGGTTGCAGTGAGCCGAGATTGCACCACTGCACTCCAGCTTAAGTGAAAGAGTGAGACTCCATCTCAAAAAAAAAACTAGGCCCCATCTCTGTGCCCACCCTTCCCCTTGCACTCCAGCCTCCTGAGCTTCTCACCCTGTCTGTGAAGGACCCCAGTTGCTTGTTTTTGCCTCAGTCCATGAAAATTAATTCCCAGAAAATGAAACTTAGCAAAAGACATGCAAGATACAAGTCTAGATTTTTTATTATTAGATTCAGCAGACATCTGATTGCTACAAGATTCCATACATGTTGCCTCAGTAATAAACTGTGTAGTCTAGCACCTCTGAGTAGCACTGTAACAAGATCTGCCTGCAAAGTACATCCCAAATGTGTCTACCTCTCTGTACCCCCACTGCTGTCCCCTCAGTCCAGTCCCATTTTCCTCTCTTCAGGGGAGAGGCAGTATAGCCTCTGACTGGTCTGCTGTCACTGGTCTTGCCTTCTATTCCACTTGGAGCCAGAGTGGCCTTTGATGAAACATAAGTTGATGTCTTTATGCTAGAAAACCCTTCAGTGACTTGCCATTACCTTTAAAATCTTAAAAATGTTAACTCCTGGCCTAGTGCTTTGGAAGGCCAAGGCAGGAGGATCACTTGAGGCCAGAAGTTGGAGACCAGCTTGGGGAACGTAGAACGAACCTATCTTAAAAAAAAAAAAAGGCATTATGACACATGCCATTAGTCCCAGCTACTCAGGAGACTGAACCCAAGAGATTGAGGCCATAGTTATGATCTCACCACTGCACTCCAGCCTAGGCAACACAGCAAGACCCTGTCTCAAAAATAATGTTAGCATCTCACCCAGTTCTGTGTGATCCAGCCCCTGCCAACCCATCTGATGAGCTCCTGGTTCACCCTCCTTGCTTGCTGCTTTCACCCCCTGTGACCTTTGTCCCATTCTCCTCATGTGCCAAGCTCATTCCAACCCCCAGACCTCTCCACTACTTTTCTTCTCTAGATCTTAGCTTAAGGGACACTCCAGCTCCCTCTGAGATCACCTGCATACCCTCTGTTCATTTCCTGTCATCCTATTGCTAAATTACTTTGTCTCAAGGTCTGTAAGCTCTGTGAAGGGGTCCTGCTTTTCCCAGGGCCTGACACATACTGGGCACCCAGTTAACATCACTAATATATTGGATTTTCATGCTGCCTAAGGGCTTCTAGGAAGTGCTCTACATCCAAAAGAGAGGCTGGTTTTCCAGAAGGCACCTGTGCTCAGCACAGACGGAGCCCCTCTGGGAAGAGGAGCCTGCTTCAGCCCTTGAGCATACACAGGCCTGCCACACGCTTGGATAGGGCCACCTGAGTCCCTTTTCTGGTCCCATGTGTGGTGCCAGCTCCCTCCCCTGATGATTGTTCTTTCTCTTTCCCAGGACCGAGATCTCGCTCAGCAGACAGCAGCAGCACAGGAGCCTGAGTTCAGAAGGAACTCTTAGCTGGAAATTGGGAACTGTATGGAGACTCCAAACTGACTTCCTTCAGAAAACAAAAACAAAAAAATTTTTTAGCTTTGACAAACACACAAAAGTGGTAATAAAGAGAGCCCTCCTTCTCAACCCAAAATGTGAGCCCTCTGTGGCAAAACCACCCCTTACCCCATTAACAAAACAACAGACAAAATTCTCCGAGTCCTTTTGCCTCTTTTGATAACATGCTCTGTTTTGTAAAGTGTGTGTGCTTGGGGTTCTGAGGTGTGGGATTGAGTTCTGTTTTTTTTTTTTTAAGATGTATGTAAATGTAAAAAGTTATTTAAATATATATTTTAAAGAACCCTAACCGCCAACTTTTGCTGAAAAAGAAAAAAAAAATCACTGCTGCATTAAATGAACCACATCATGTGTAGATACTGTTGTCTCCCTGGAGGGAGCTCAGGCCTTTGAAAAGCTCAGGGCTTCACCTGCCTTAGAAAATGAACCAGAAACTTGAAGTAAAGCTAGTTGATATGGGTACAGGCTCTGAGGAGCAGTGCAGAGCTGCCTCTTTCTTTCTCATGGCAATCCCAATGTACATGATGTCAGGTCTCGGATGCCATGCCGCTCCAGCCCACGCCCTTAGGCAGGTGATGGAAGCAGCTAGGAATAGGGTGTACAAGAGCCGCAGCCCTGCAGAGCCTGGCCAAGCCGCTGCTACGAAAGTGATGGGGATGATTCTTCCCAGTGTCCTCAATCTGTCCCCTCGGGTCATGGTCCCAAGTGAAACAACAGAGTTCACATCCCATAGTAAGGGCATATTCTTGGGGCCCTCAATCTGAACTCTGACCCTCAGGGCAGGGAAGAGGAGGCTGTCCCCCTTGGTTGTCCTGACTTTGGAGTCCTTTACAAAAATATTTTGGGCTCCCTGCCACTGGCTGCAGAAATGGCTTGACAGGGTGTGTGGGGCAGACACCCAGAAGGAATGTACTTTTGTGGCCTTGGTGTCCGATGAGGCTGGGGAGAGTGCTCTCCACTGACCCAGCAGCACACCAATGTGCAGTGCGCATGCGCCTCTGTGGGGCAGCCACAACCCTCGGCTGCTTCCTTGGGCTGCCTTTCTGGGGGCACGTGCCCAGACCCAGGAGGTCTGCACTGAGCTCCATTTGAATGATACCTTTCCTATCCCATTTCCCCACGGAAGCACTGCTTCAGGGTTGTTCAGTCTTCTGCCTCATGGCTGAAATTGCTCATCTCGCCTGCAGATGTCTACTATCCTATCTACCTAATGCACTATTATATATTGATTCTCCATGAGACAGAGAGAGAGACTATCAGATAGTTTACATCCTAAGGGTAGGTTTTTGTGTATTTTCCCAGCCTTTTTTATTAAGGGGAAGGAGAGAGTTTAAAAACCCAAACCGCTGCGGTTTTAAGGTGTTTCATTTTTAAAAGGGAGAGAGAATCTATTTAAAGCTATTTCAGATCAGGGATTATCATCCTTTTTTGTCCAGTGTATTCCTTGTTCTTTAAAAACTATTTTTATAGGAAACTAATGATATTAGCCCTTGTGTTCACTAATTCTTTTGGTCACTTGTATTTGTTCATTCATTCATCAGATGTGTTGTCATCTGAAAGAATTGGCTTATTGGGTTTGCAAGCTCACTTGCGGAATAGGAAACTTGGGACCTGGCCCCCTGTTGGGTAGGAGGAGAGGGACCACCTGGGTTGCTAGGTGACGGTGCTGGTCCTTCTCCAGTAGGTTTCACAGGAAGACAGCTCAGAATGTTTTGAACGAGAATGTCGCTCTGTCAGAATATACTTTTCTTAAAAACCTCAGCGTATCATGAGGAAATTTACTTATCTCTAGTTAGGATTTGACAGAATTTCCAACATAAAATGATCAAACCATTTGCCATCAAGGGACTCACTGGTGAGATCTGTCCTTCCGCCTCTGGGGTATAGTCCCTTGGGGGGCTGCTTCTCAGACTGTGTCCCGTACACCTGTTGCCGAGGGTGTGAGAAGCGCCTGAGCTGGTGACATGTGATCTGGGACGCCTTTATTTCTTGGGCCAGGAGTAGCAGCTGCTAAGGACAACAGCTTGCATTACATGGTTGTAGGGAAATGGGGTCTGGGTTTTAATATGAACTGCAAAAAGCAGCTTCTCATTGAGATTTTTGTTGTTGTTTGTGGGGTTTTGTGTTTTTTGTTTTGTTTTTAATGCCTTTGAGTGCATATTATCTTCCTCATCTGAAACCGAACTCCCAAAGTGGCTTTCTTTAGCCCTGGCTGGAAAACCACTCCTTAGTAGCCTTAAGCAATAAATAGATGAGTAGAGAATGTGGCTTCCACCGGGCTTATTAAAATAAGTGTGTCTAGTTTTCTTTTTTTTTTTTTTTTTTGAGACAGAGTCTCACTCCGTCACCAGGCACCTGGCTGGAGTGCAGTGGCGTGATCTTGGCTCACTGCAACCTCCACCTCCTGGTTTCAAGCAATTCCCCTGCCTCAGCCTCCCGAGTAGCTGGGACTACAGGCGCACGCCACCACGCCCAGCTAATTTTTTTTTGTATTTTTAGTAGAGATGGGGTTTCACCATGTTGGCTAGGATGGTCTCGACCTCGTGATCCACCCACCTTGGCTTCCCAAAGTGCTGGGATTACAGACGTGAGCCACCACGACCAGCCTCTAGTTTTCACTTGAACAAGTGATAGCTGCAGATGGCAAAAGAAACCCATTTAATTTTTGTAGCTTACAGGTGGTAGAAACAAAAATGCAATTTCAAAACCTTAAATACCACCCATTGTCTTGTAAATTTGTGTTGGCTTATCTAGTCAGGGAGATCACCAGAATAATATAACCAATGATCTTATTTGTCACACATAAAAGAAATGTCCTCTTTGAAGTTGTAAGACTCCACCAATGACACACACCCTTTTTAGTGGACTCTGAGTGGTGTGTAGCACTTTTATAGCCATGGAAACTGGGAGTATCCCATTTTCCACTGAGAACCCCTGCCCCCAATCCCTCCAAGTTGGGGTGTGACCGATGGGCATGGTCAAGTGACCCAGCCCGGGGTGTAGGACAGCCACGTTCAATGTAGAGTTCTAGAACAAGCTGAAAATGGAAGTTTGGGTGTTTACCAACAAGGTACCTCTTTACGGACATATAGCCCCAGTAAGCTGGCTTTAACTCTTAGCCCCTTCCCCCTCCTCCTAACCCAAGCCCTTTTGTAAAATAAAGCTCCATCTGTCCCACTGCTCACATCCTTCTGTGCTGCTAGTTTCTACTCAAAGTTCATGCAGGACTAATCCTTTTAAAATGAGGTCTAAATAATTAATCTAGAATATTGTTCTTTAAACAGAACTGCCTTTTTCTACTCTATGTAAACTTTCTATGGTGTTGGTCTAACGAGGCACTATTTTTAATTTTTTAAATTTCTCCCATAGCACTTAAAAGAGATTTTGTAAAGATTTTGCTGTAAAGATTTTGTAATAAAATGGTCTAAGGGCTCTTTTTTCCAACATTACCATTTGAAAAAAATGTTTTAAAAGCTAGAAAACAACTTATGTATATTCTGTATATATATAGCAGCACATTTCATTTATGGAAATATGTTCTCAGAATATTTATTTACTAATATATTTATCTTAAGCCATGTCTTATGTTGAGAGTGTGACATTGTCGGAATAATCATTGAAAATGACTAACACAAGACCCTGTAAATACATGATAATTGCACACAGATTTTACATATTTGCAGACCAAAAATGATTTAAAACAAGTTTTAGTCTTCTATGGTTTTGTAACAAATTGTACAAATGACTGTAAAAAAATACAATTTTATCAAGTATGTGTTATATCTTGTCATTGCTCTGTTCGGCAAAAGACTACAGATTCAACGAGGGGAGGTTTGCATGGGGCAGTACTTTTAACTTCAACTTGCCCATTGAAGCATTCATATAACTTTGTTAATCTAGAGTGCAGGTTATTGGGGGTTTAGGCAGTGTCACAGGAGAGAATCTGTTATAGGGTGTGTGAGTTTATATCCTTGTGAGAATGGTAGGATTTCTGTTCAGTCCTATGTAGAAGGAGCTAGGGAAAGTGATAGTGATCAAGCCTAGCGGTGCACTTTTTAAAAATAGGGACCCATACGGCCAGGCACAGGAGCTCATACCTATAATCCCAGCTATTCAGGAGGTTGAGGCAGGAGGATCTCTTGAGGCAGGAGTTGGAGACCAGCCTCAGCAACATAGTGAGATCCCATCTCTACCAAGAAAAAAAAAAAAAAAGCTAGGCATGGTGTGCTCATGCAGTCCTAGCTACTCAGGAGGCTGAGGCAGGGGGGTCGCTTGAGCCCAAGAAGTCAAGACTGCAGTGAGCTATGATCATGCCACTGCACTCCAGCCTGGGCGACAGAGCTGTCTCGAAAGAAAAGGAAGGGAAAGAAAGAAGGAAATAGGGAACCATAGCCTGAATTTAAAACATCTTCTTTATCTGTCAAGCCTTTTCCTACCTGGAAGACTAAGACCCTCAAGGCCTTGGAGGAAAAATACTCCAAGCATCTACCCCTCAAAATTACCAGATCATGGCCAGGCACCGTGGCTCACACCTGTAATCCCAGCACTTTAGGAGACCAAGGCAGGTGGATACACCTGAGTTTGGGAGTTCAAGACCAGCCTGGCCAACATGGAGAAACTCCATCTCTACTAAAAATACGAAATTAGCCGGGCATGGGTGCATGCCTGTAATCCCAGCTGCACAGGAGGCTGAGGCAGGAGAATCACTTGAACCCAGGAGGCAGAGGTTGCGGTGAGCAGAGATCACGTCATTGTACTCCAGCCTGGGCAACAAGAGTGAAACTCCATCTCAAAAAAAAATTACCTAATCATGAGTGGAGAGGCACCCATGGTCTTGAGCGAATCTGGTACCTCTTTGTCTGTTTCCCTGAGAGGGTGTTGCTAATTTGTAAAGCACTCTGAGATGACATGGAAGGTGAAAAGTTGTGTTTATTTTTCAGATCTCTAGCAGAGAATACCCTAATCCCATGAGTTCCTGTTCCTATTTTTTGCTCTTTAATTTGGGCCATTTCTTGAGCACAGGCTCCTCGTGGACACCCGGCCGCTTCCTGCCAGGGAAATGGTCCTTCTGAGCACCTTCAGAGATGGCACCCTGATTGCACAGAGCCTCCCAGAGCTTTTGTTTAATGGCCTTGCCCAGCTCCAGGCTGTACCTCTTGGGGGTTCCCGAAGGATTCCACAGCATTGGCTCCACCACAGCATGGTACAGAGCCCGGTAACCCTCTGTGGGGAGACCGTGGATGGTTAGCATGTCCTCCGACAACTGCTGTCTCCTGTGCGTTTCCGGAAGCAACACTCGGCCCTTCCAGGCTGCTGTCCCACTGTCCTGGGGTAGCGCTTGGGTGGCAGCCACATGTTCAGCATATCTGTCCTCAAGATCTTGGCGGACTGTTAGTTTTTTCTCCTTTGAACTTTCTTTACTCTAGCCAGGAAGAAAGCAGAGAAGTGAAAGCTAAAACTTGAGAGGGGAGCTCAGAATAATTATCTGGGATTTGTGTCCCAGAGTCTTGGTTACAGCAACAACCAACATTTGTCTAGTATGTTCTAGTTTACTGATTTCCTTTATGTACATACCACTGCGTGTGTTCTCCAGAACCCTGTGAGGTCAGCAGGAGACAGCTTTAAAGGCAAAGAGATTGGAATTGGTTTGCCCAAGGCCACACAGCTAGAAGGTTAATAACCACAGCTGTCATCTATTGAATGCTATTCAAGATCCTGATTATTTACCCTCTGCCAGCCTTTATTCAAAAGCCTTTTACATGTATTAACTTATTTAATCTTCACAAAACTCTATGAGGGAAGGGCCATTATCCTCCATTTAAAATGATAGCATCAAGGCACAAAGAAATTAGGCCCAAGGTCATCCTCAATTATAGTCAGAGTTGGGATTTGAACCCTGATGGCCTAGCTCCAGGGTACACTGAGCTCTACTGGCCACCATGGGGTAGCAGACCTGGACTCTGATCAGGCCTCCAGAGGCCAAGTTCTCCATGTGGACGCTCATAGTCCAGATCTATAGCTGACCACCAGTGTGTGTGTGTGCCCAGTGCACAAGCACATACTACCCATATCCTAGCCTTCCTTCTCGCCCTTATTTTTTCCTTTGTGTCAAGTCTGTGCTTATGAAAGCCATCTCATCCTTCTCTAGAATTAAGCATAGTATAAATAATAGCATGACTGCAACATCCAAAGCATTCTTCCACTCTTTCATGCTGCACCTCTGCCCCACATTCTGTCTTCAACTTCAGGATTTCCTTCACTTGGTATAGTTTTGTTTTATTTGTTTGGTTTTGTGGTTTTATTATTTTTATGTTTTTTAAAATAAAGACAGGGTTTCACCATGTTGGCCAGGCTGGTCTTGAACTCCTGATCTCAGGTGATCCGCCCGCCTCGGCCTCCCAAAGTGCTGAGATTACAGGTGTGAGCCACCACACCGGGACTGGTTTTGTTTTTTTGAGACAGGGTCTTTCTCTGTTGCCCAATCAGGAATGCAATAGTGCAGTCATGGCTCACTGCAGCCTCAACCTCCTGGGCTCAAGTAATACTCCCTCCTTAGCTTCCCACGTAGCTGGGATCATAGGCGTGTGCCATCATGCCCAGCTAATTTTTTTTTTTTTTTTTTTTTTAGTAGAGATGAGGTCTCCCTTTGTTGCCCAGGCTGGTCTTGAACTCTGAGTTCAAATGATCCTCCCTGCTTGGCCTCCCAAAGTGCTGAGATTACAGGCAGTAGCCTCACGCCATATATATATGTCAAGTGTTAAGTGTTCTCTGGTTTTACGTTTTCCCTCCCCCCATCACTGGCCATCATCTACCTCTCTGATGCCTCCTGCAGGCATCCTATGCCCTGCTGGCCGCTTGTTCTTGGAACTGATGGAGTTTCTTTTCCTGGCCCGTTGGGTGGCTTTCATCACTGAATCGTCCTTGTGTTTTAATCTCTTTGAGAGTTTTGTTTCTCCAAACTTGCGTGGTACTGGGCAGCACTTATTCTTCAGCTGCCGCCTGAGTACAAGCTTAACCAGGGAGAAGGAACTGGCAATTAATGGGTTCCTTACAACTTCCCAAGAAGAAGTGGTAGCTGGTTCTGTGGCATTAATGTTCTGCTTTGCACACGTTCTGGCCATCCAGATGTTGATGAGAGCCGGTGAGTCCACATAGCAGTCCTGAAGCCTGGTGTTTAATAAGATGGACTGTCGGAGTCCATAGATGGGGATGCTGGGGTCTCGTCTCACATGGATTGGGTGCTAGAGTTAAAAGAGGGAGAAATGAATTTTTAAAAGACTGTTCTCCAGCAGAGAATAAAAGGTCTATTTTGAAGGCAAAATATTAACATCTTTTATAGGGCATTCCTTCCACTCAGTTCTTAGAAATTTTACTGTATGTCCTCTCCTTCTCACCAAAGCCTTTTATATCAAGTAGGGAGGAGATAGTAACTCCACAAGGTTACAGTGATATTAAGGCTCTCAAAGAACATAGCATGCTGGGGCAGGAAGCCGGGAGTCAGGGAGGGTTCGTAAGGAACCAAAGACAATTCCTGCCTGCTGGAAAGATAATGAAGACAGAGTCACTCACATATGAGCTCTAGACACTCAACCATGCTGCAACACAGACATGACAGCAGGTAAGTTCTGCCAAACCCTGAATATGCTTTCTAACCAACGGCCATGCACCAAGAAGAGCCCATTCACAGGGAAATCAGTATCCTCTGGGGATCATAAAAGCAAGATGAAAAGGTAAACGATGCTGGCCTCCATTTTCTGGGACCAGCTAACAACAACAAAACAATTTGGATAGACTAGAATCACATATTTAGAGAGACCTGGCTTTCTAAGAAATGTCATCTATAAAAAGTAAAATCACCTTACCATATTTCAGTTGCCTTAAATTTTATTTTCGCTAGCTTGGTAGGGGGAAGATACATGTATTTTCTCTTTCCTTTCTCTCTTTTTTGGTGTTTTGTTTGGTTTTAATATTTCTAATCACCTGTCTTTCTCTGCCTCAGTCAGGTATGGGCAAATTGCTGTTTGTTTAGATTTGGGCTCAATGCAGGCAGCTTTGAGCCATTATCCCTAGTATTTGTGATGTCACTTTGGTTTGTGATGTGGGTGTAGGTGGGTGTAACATCATCAGATTTTATAGTTAAATTATGTCAGAAGATGTTCTATATGATTTCGCTTCTAGCCTCAGAAATTTCTGAAGTCCTCATTTCCCCCAAATGGCTTGGGTGAATTTTGAAGATCTTCACGTTCTTAAGAAGCATGTTTTGCAGGAAATGTAGTCAAATATGCAGATCAGATTTGGGGATACAGGTAGTGAGATGCATCCCTACATGTGCAAAAGCGCCCTCCTTTATGCACATAAAGAAAGCACTGTTGAATTCTCAGAATAGCTGCCAAAGTTAGGGACCAGAAATGAAAGAACATGTTCCTGCAGCCCTGGGCACCTTTCCCTGCGTGTCTCTCCCGGGAAGACTACATGGTTTCTGGAATGTGGTTTTATTTGACATCCCATGGCAAATGCAGTAATTAGAGCTGTTAGCAGTGTCAAGGGCTTGAAACGAGAACAAAGCCGCCTCATCCTGAGAACTCTTGGGCAATGCCTCACTCCTTATCAGGTGCTCGTCCTGTTGGTGGGTTTGATTTTTTTTATTTGCAGAATGACTCAAGAGGCTCCCTCCTGAGGAGGAGGAGAGTGAAATGATGGAAAAACAGAGTATGAATCTGGCAGGGGCTCCTGGAATCTCATGTGTTGCCTGCTTGAGTTTTTAAGTGTTGTCCCTGGGG